CTAGGAATAAGCAAGGGACAAGTTGTCTTTTTCTTTACTTTTCAGCTTTTTTGCTGTTAATAAAAGGCTTGAATATGTAGAGAGGCGGCTAAGTGCTGATCTTTCATTAAAAGTTTATTTATTTATTTATTTATTTATTTTGTAATTTTTTTTTTTTTTTTAACGTTTATTTATTTTTTTGGGACAGAAGAGAAAGAGGAGACAGAGCATGTGAGCGAGGGGGGAGAGGGAGCAGAGAGAGAAGACACAGAATCCAGGGAGGCTCAGGCTCTGAGCCATCAGCCCCAGAGCCCGGCCAGCGGAGACTCGAACTCCACCGGACAGACAGCAGATGGTGACCTGGCTGGTCGGCCACTGTGAGCGACCCTAGCCACCCAGGCTCCCAAAAAAAGTTTATATATTTTTAAAAGTAAATTATTTTTGAAAAAAAAAAATTAAAATAAATAAATAAATAAATAAATAAAATAAACTTTTTAATGAAAGATCAGCACTTAGCCGTCTCTCTACATATTCAAATTTTTATTAACAGCAAAAGCTGAAAGTAAAGAAAAAGACAACTTGTCCCCTCTCGTTTATTCCTAGGGGGCAAAAACTGGGGGAAGGAGGTATATATATATTGTACACTTCACTAATACATTTATCTCCAACAGTTTTTAACATTTATATTTCTCAAAATATTTATGTTCAAGTTAAAAATTAACACAAAATAGGGGCGCCTGGGTCACTCAGTCACTTAGGCATCCAACTTCATCTCAGGTCATGATCTCATCGCTCATGGGTTCGAGCCCCGCGCTGGGCTCTGTGCTGACAGCTTGGGGCTGGAGCCTGGAGCCTGCTTCGGATTCTGTGTCTCACTCTCTCTCTGCCCCTCCCCTGCTTGCGCGCGTGCGCGCCTTCTCTCTCTCTCAAAAATAAACAAACATTAAAAAAAATTTCTTAAAGATTAACACAAGATAAAAACCTAGAACATAGGGTTAATGGATTGTAAAGTTTAGCTGCGTTATTCTGTTCTCCATAAAATAGGGTTATCATATAGAATACAACATGCCCAGTTAATTTTGAATTTTAGTTAAGGAACAGATTATTTTTTCAGTATAAATATATTCCATGCATTTCTTTGAGACATACTGAAAAATAATGTTGTTAAACTAAAATTCAAAATGAAATGGGCATCTTGTTATAGTAGCCTTACTAAAAGAATATGCAAACTTAGCAAAATTCTACTTTAAACTTCAAACTTTGTAATAAATGCATTAATAATCAACAGCTACTATTTTCTGAGAACTATTTAGGTTCCCTACAAATTACCCAGTATTTGTTTACTTACTAAAAATATATGCTTTAACTATTCTAGTGTTTAATTAGGAAAGATAAATGATAACAATTTATTAAAAACAAAGACTGTTCTATAGAGCAGAAAGGAAAACTCCAGCTTTTATTCTTTTTTCTCCCCAAACTTAAACTTTATTCCACATCTATTTAAACATTAAAATTTACAATTCAGCTTTGGAAGCACATGTCATAACATAAAAGGTCCCAGAAACATTTTAACAAGGAAGACTAGTCTTAAGTAATCTCACTACAGCAACTATTCGTAAAATAATCTCCAATTATCCATTAGTTATAAAGAAAAAATAAATTATTTTACAAAACTTAACTGCTACTGATCATCGCAAGAACAATTATGTTAACTAAAACATCATAATTAATACCTTGCTGGAAAGGACTAGCTGCTGACACAGTCGTTCCTGGATTTCGGCCACCAGGCTTTCTTCCCCTTTGACCTGAGCTGTGAGCTGAAGATTTCTTCCCTTTTCCCTCTGACCCTCTAGCCTCTGAAACATCTTTTCCACTAGTTGTGTGCGCAGAGACTTCCTGGAAGTTTGCATTTGTAAATCGAGCTGCAGTATCTTCCAAACGCTTCAATGATCCAGATATAGAGTTGCTGCTAGTGCTTGTATAAGTCTAACATTTTGATTGAGAAAGGAAGTTGAAAGAAAAAAAGAACAGATTAGATTTTAGCTATAGGTGGGCGGAGGGAGAGGCATATTAATAATAATAAATAATTGTTCAGCTTCTAAGATAAACATATTAAAGTTTCAGTTATAAAGTGAGACCACCTGGGGCGCCTGGGTGGCGCAGTCGGTTAAGCATCCGACTTCAGCCAGGTCACGATCTCGCGGTCCGTGAGTTCGAGCCCCGTGTCAGGCTCTGGGCTGATGGCTCAGAGCCTGGAGCCTGTTTCCGATTCTGTGTCTCCCTCTCTTTCTGCCCCTCCCCCGTTCATGCTCTGTCTCCCTCTGTCCCAAAAATAAATAAACGTTGAAAAAAAAAAAATTTAAAAAAAATAAAAATAAATAAAGTGAGACCACCTAAGAAAATCACATGAAAACAATTATTTTAGTCTATTGCAAATATTTATAAATTGCAACAATAAGTTAAAGTACATATTAGTTATAGTTCTTCAGCAACACAGTTTTAGTATTGAAGGTACTTGCTTCTCAAGCAACACAATTTTCAATAAGAAAAAACTACTTCCTAGTCATGAAATTACCATCAGCTTTAACGTTCAGCACAAAGGCAACAATGAGCAAGAAATAAAGTGCTACAAATTCATTAGAGAGTAGATCCATGAGATTATAAGGCTTCAGCACAGGTCAGAGCAAGAATCTTTAATTCAGGTGAAGGCTACCTTCCAAAACAGAAAGATTAAAGCCTTTAAAACACAAACCATTTCTTCCAAGTATTAAGATGAAGGAACTGTTATACTTTGCAGTTAAGATTTTTAAAAATTAAAAGTATTGGGGTGCCTGGGTAGCTTATTCAGTGAAGCGTCCAACTCTTAATTTTAGCTCAGGTCATGATCTCAAGGTCGTAGGAATGTGCCTGGCATGGGGTTCTGCACTGAGCATGGAGCCTACTTGGGATTCTTTCTCTCCATCTCTCCCTCTTCCTCGCCTCCCCGAAAATAAATAAACATTAAAAAAAAATTGAAAGAAAGTATTATATACCCTAAAACGGATCTGTAATCACCCCCATGATCTAGATATGTTTAGGAAAAATACAAAATAAAGACCTGTCTAAACAATTAGTTTCCAATCATTTCCAATTAGTTTAACAATCATTTGTAAGACAAGGTATATGCAAATAATAGTAAATTAAATGACTATGAAAGGTGAGAACGTGTTCTAACAGATGTATATTAATCAGCATGCTTCAAACTAAAAGGTTTGGGGTGCCTGGGTGGCTAAGTCCGTTGAGCACCCAACTCTTGATTTCAGGCCAAGTCATGAGCTCACAGTTCATAGGATCAAGCCCCACGTCAGGCTCTACACTGACAGCATAGAGCCTACTTGGGATTCTCTCCCCACACCTGCTCCTCCCCTGCTCACGCTCTAACAAAATAAATAAATAAACATTTAAAAAAGAAAAAAGAAGTATAAGGTTTGTAAGTCCAATGGGTCAGGATTTTTGTTGTCCCTGTTTACGTTCACTAAATGCCTGAAAGACAAACAGCCCTAAATTTCTGCTGAATAAATAAATGAATAAATATTTTTCTGAATCATCTATCTAAAATCTCTGATGCAGGGGCGCCTGGGTCAGTTAAGCATCTGACTTTGGCTCAGGTCATGATCTCACAGTTCGTGTGTTAGAGCCCCTGCATCAGGCTCTGTGCTGACAGCCCAGAGCGTGGAGCCTGCTTCAGATTCCGTGTCTCCCTCTCTCTCTGCCCCTCCTCTGCATGCTTGCTCGCTTGTGCTCTCTCTCTCTCTCAAAAATAAACAAACATGAAATAAATTAATTAATTAAAAAAAAATAAAATCTCTGCTGTAATACAAACCACTCAATACAAACCATCAGATAAATGTGAAAAACAAGAAAGGGATGCTAAAATCAGGTGTCAAAATAGTCGGCATTTGTAGCAAAATCAACGTTCAAAATGCAGAAAGAAAGAAGACTTCAAATGCTCTGCAAATCAAACATTCTTCACTACTACTTGTCTGCTACTTGCCTCTTGATATTGTCCTCACTCCACATCATCACACTGTCAAACAGATTTTCATCAAGTACAAGAGACGTTATCTCATAAAAACAAACCAATCACTATTCTAATAACAGAGACTCCACAAATGAGAAAGAAAGGTCCCAGAGTAAGTTTTAGGAGAAAGTCAATCATGTTTAGGCTTATTAAACTTCATGGATTGCTTTATGTCCAACTTCGGCTCAGGTCAAGATCTCACGGTCCGTGAGTCTGAGGCCCGCGTCAGGCTCTGTGCTGGCAGCGAGGAGCCTGCTTGGGATGCTTTCTCTCTCCACCCTTCTCCTGCTTGCACACTCTCAAAATAAATAAATAAACTTTAAAAGGTGGGGGGGAGGGCTAGGTGGCTCAGTTGGTCAAGCATGTGACTGCAGCTCAGATCACAATCTCCTGGTCAATGAGTTCAAACCCCGCATCTGGCTCCGTGCTGCCAGTGCGGAGCCTGTTTGGGATTCTCTCTCTCCCCATCCCCCCGACCCGCCCCTCTCCTGCTTGCATACTCTCTCTCAAAATAAATAAATAAACTTACAAAAACAAACTTCATGGATTACTTTAGAAACATGAATGTTTCCATGCTGGGCAGGGTCACTTTGGGAACCACCTACTTTACTTTTCAAATACTTTTTTCTAATAACGAGTTGAGGTTCTCCATCCCATTCACATACAAGCCTAATGAAGTTTAAAAGTCATCTAAAGAGAACACAGTGATGTTCTTCATTCATGTACTTTGACCATGTACCAAATAAGCAAAGAAGAAAAAACTGGGTGGAGAACCAAACACAAAAAATACTATTTCCACATACCAACCTAAACTAGCGTTGGTCAATTTTCCCACTCATTTAATAGAATATCCTTGCTTACCCTTGAAGTATAAATATGTCCATAAACCCAATGAAAATATGCCACATGGAAGAAAAGGTATTACAAAGAAAGCAATGAATACAAATTAAGCAAATTTCACTGACAAAAGTCATACTAAACAAAATCGTAACATTTCTTTTTAAACGTTTTTTTTTTATTATTGAGAGACAGACAGAGACAGAGCATGAGCATGAGCATAGGAGGGGCAGAGAGAGGGAGAGACACAGAATCTGAAGCAGGCTCCAGGCTCTGAGCAGCCAGCACAGAGCCCAACCCGGGGCTTGAACTCACAGAGCACGAGATCATGACCTGAGCTGAAGTCAAATGCCTAACCGACTAAAGGCGCTCCCATAACATTTTCTTTTTTAAAAAGTTATTTCTAAGTTTTAAAAATTATCAAAGATTTAAGAAAATTTTTAGTTATTATATATTTTTGAGAGACAGTGCATGTGAACAGGGTAGGGACAGACAGAGTGAGACAGAGAATCCAAGTAGGCTCCACGCTGTCACAGTGCAAAGCCCAACGTGGGGCTCAAATCCAGGAACTGTGAGATCATGACCTGAGCCAAAGTTGGATGCTCAACCAACTGAGCCACCCAGGTGCCCCCCGAAATATCAGATGTTTTAACAAGAAAAATATAAAACTTTAG